TAGGATTTAGGGGGCTATCATCTAGTCTAAACACTAAAATATGGAGAGTAGACATGAACAGGGAAAAATACACAGAAAAAAAAAATGCTATAGAAGTGAGAACGATGCAAATTTCGAGTACAGGAGACGGAAGGAGTACTGAAACACTCGTTAGATCAATTTGTTGTTGTTAAGTGTCATCAAGTCAGGTCTGACTCACAGCAATCCTGTACAGGGTTTCTGAGGCTTTAGATCTTCAAGGGAGCAGAAAGCATCATCTTTCTCCCACAGAGCAGCTGGTGGACTCTAACTGTGATTAACAGTCCAGTGTTTATCTTTTGTAGTCAAAAATAATTTCTGAAGAATCACACACACACACACAAACTAATTGTTTGAAAGGAAACACTACCCTGTGTAACTTAAAATCTTTCATCTGTGGTTCACATAGCAGAAGACAAACATTCATTAAGTTGCTTAAGATATTTGCAAGGTAATTATTATTACATTAATTTTACACATGGATAAACTAAAACAGAAAAATTAAGTGGTTTACCCATAAATAGCAAGTAATTTTGTAATAGTTCCATATATAACTCTGCTATTAGCATTAAATACCTTCATTATCTAACTAGTAAAATATTTTAGAATTCCTCTTAAAGTAGGCTTAATAATACTATAGAAATAGACTACAGGGAATTATAATAATAGAACTGATTGAGATTAATCCGTTTTTTGTTTGTTTGTTTTTTCCCATTGAAGAATTTAAGAAATGTTCACATATATAGCTTTTACTTAACATATATTAAAGTTCTTTGTGCTTGCAAGATTTATTAGTAGTAGCTGTACATTGTCATTTTGCAAATAATAAAAACAACTTTAATTTTTAAAATAAATTCAACTTAATGTTTTAAAATACAATAAGCTCAGGTATACATTCAATTTTTCTAATGCTAGCAAAATGACCTATAATCTAAACTCCAATACCTGCTTCTAAACTGTAGTAGAAAACAACCATTATGGCTCAATACAGAGAAACTCAATTACATTTTAAAAAAAAGCACCTAGAAAGATCACATACACCCAAGTCCAGAGATTAAAATGAACAAAACAAACAAAATAAATAATTTGGACATAAGGAATTAAAAAATATCTTTTAAATCTTATGTACATGAATTATATATAGTAATTAACATAATCACTAGACAGGTAACCACACGGTCAGCAGTCCAACCTCACTAACTATCCGCTCTCGAAAACCATACACAGCGTTGCTATGAGTCGGAACCAAGTCAATGGCCCACAAAAACAACTATAAGATATAACTATAAAATATATACCCAAATCATTCACAAAAATAAATCTGTGTAATCCAAAATAAAAAACTTTTACAGCAAATAAATGTTATGTAAAACATTTATAAAATCAAAAAAATTATAACTACAAAAAGCAATTTTTAACTGTAGGTTACCTTTTTTTTATGAATTTTTAACTTTAGGCTTGCTACCTTAAAACTGAAAGTATCTAAGGAATCCTAGTGTGGCGCTATAGGATAAGTATTAGATTGCTAACCACAGAGGCCAGCAGTTCAAACCCACCAGTCACTGCTCAGAAATCCTACACAGGGTTGCTGAGTCAGGACCTACTTGACAGCACTTGACAATAACACCAACCTTAAGAATACTTATACTAATAAGCATGATTTAAGGAAAAACTAAAAACATCCTACCCTTTATAGACCTAAAAGTCTTCTGTTATGCCATATTTAATACTACGGGAAAAGAAAAGGCCATCAATCACAATGATACAAAGATTCACTAAAGGCTAAAAGATAATTAAAATGAGAAATATTCCAGTAGTTGAGCTTAAATAAGAGGAAGAAACCTCAAGCCTTCTTTCTTCCCAGTTTCATCTCTATATTAAACTGCATCTTACATGAAAGAATACCAAACAAGTTTACCATCCTAGACAAGTAACTTCCTTTGTCTCTCTGAGCTTGTAAAATCAGGGCTTTACAAGACGTGATGTTGTGAAGTGCCATTGAGTTGGTTTCAACTCATAGTGACTCTCCATAGGGTTTCTTGAGGAGTTGGCTGATGGGTTTGAACTGCCAACCTTGTTGCTAGCTGCCCAGAGTATGACTGATGAGGAAGGAACAAGAAAGAAAAGGATGCATTGCTAAAGCCAGAATTACTTCAAATATCATTGAAATAAATCTGAGTACTGATGTGGTGCTGTGGGCTAATGCGCCAGACTGCAAAGCCATTTGAACTTCAAGGTCGGCAGTTCAAGCTCACCAGCTGCCCCTTGGAAACACTATATAGGGTCGCTATGGGTCGTAATCAACTTGACGGCACTTAACAACCACAACAATACTGGCAAGAGAAACTAACTTATTCAACAAATACCTACTTAGCACCTAAAATATGCCAGGCATTATTCTAGACACTAAGAACATAAAAATAAACAAAAATATAAAAAGTTACATCTAGTGGAGAGACTGAAAAAAGGCAAACACATATATTGCCCTTTATTAACCATTAGGCAAATCAGTTGCATAAAAATGCAAATCAGTTGCATTTTTAAAGTGTTGAAGAGCAAAGATGTCAGCTTGAGGACTGAGGTGCACCTGATCCAAGCTATGGAATTTTCAATAACCTTATATGCATGTGAAAGCTGGACAGTGAATAAGGAAGACTGTAGAAGAATTGATGCATTTGAGTTACGGTGTTGGAGGAGAATATTGAAAGTGCCATGGGCTGCCAAAAGAACCAACAGATCTGCGTTGGAAGAAGTGCAGCTAGAGTGCTCCTTGGAGGCCAGGATGGCCAAACTTTGTTTCTCATACTTTGGACATATTGTCAGGAGGGATCAATCTCTGGAGAAGGATATCACATTTGGTAAGGTGGAGGGTCAGAGAAAAAGAGGAAGACCCCCAACGAGATGGATTGGCCCAGGATTGGGCAGTGTTTTGTTCTGTTGTGCATCGGGTTGCTATGAGTTGGTACCAACTCAATGGCACCTAACAACAACACAACATTAACCAGTAACAATAAGTCCCAAGAAGAAAAAGAAAGCTAAGTAAAAGAGCGAGACAATAACAAACAAAGGCTATCTTTTTGCATATAAAAAAGACTGTTCTCACACAGGAAAATTCTTTCTGGTAAGTTGACATTTGAACAAAGACCCAAAATTAAAATGAAGGAGTAAATAACACAAATATCTGAAGAAAAAGCATCTGAGTTAGTGAAAGGAATGGGAGTGCAAAAACCCTGAGGAAGGGCCTTGAGGCTTTTTGAGAAAGAGCAAGACCAGCGTGGCTGAGGCAGAGGCAGAGGGAATAAGTCAAGAAGTGAAGTAGAAGAAGGCTCAGGGTAGGCCTTGTAGACCACGTGAAAAACTTTGGATTTTGCTCTGAGTGAGTGTGAAAACCAGAAAGTTTTGAGCAGAAGAGTGACATGATTTAATGCATTGTTTTAGAGCTTCATTTTAGCTGTTATTACGGAAACACTGTAGGGGATGATGATTAGGGCTATTTTTAAGCAAACAAGTTCAGAGGTAAATAAATCACTTTAAAATATTCCTGTGGGCATACTCACTCTTTAGATTCCTGCGTTCTTTTAGTAACATGCTGTACAACTGTATCATAGCCAGATTCTTCACTCTGATTCTGATCAGATGTGCATTTTTCCATTTCTTCTTCAATCATAGACCCCAAAGTGTTGCATATGTGTTGCCTAAGGTATTTCACAAATTCATAGCTGAAACAGATATTTTAAAAATAAATGCAGTCAATATCATAAGCTCACTTATTAAATACATCCACAAAAATATGTTCGCACAAAAAAGTTGTGATTTATTCAGATTTTTTTACTATAAAATAGAATTAAACTGGTAACCGCTCACTCATCACAAACCATCAAGCTAACTTGGACATTTGTTTGCTTTTGCTTTCATCTGACGCATTTAAAAATATATATTTTAATAAATATTTAAAATAAAAAAAAAATTTTAAAGATGAATCCACAGAGGGTAGGCTCATAACCAATCAATTTTTTCACATTCCTTTTATGTATGTGTCCCTTTCTTTAATTAATGTGTAATTAATTTCCCCCTTTGGGGGGAAGCAGTTGTAAAGATTCATAATTATTCAAACTGATGATGAATAATACTAGATAAGACAAACTAGGATAATAGTAAATAGGAAAGAATAAATAGGAAAAGGTTAAACTCTGACCATCAGAAGAGTTTTTGTGTACATAAAAGTGGATAACTCTGACCTAAAATCCACAAAATCTAATTGACTTTGGTCTTGCTACATTTCAAGACAGAAATGTCTCAGATAGCTAAATAGGCTGGACATTTTTCTTCAAACTTACTCTGACTAGACGGCACTTAATAACAAATATGTAAATATATAGAGATATAAAGATGTATTTGTTGATTTGTTGTCTTTCTCGTTCTCTATATATACATATATATAGAGAGAGAGAGTGAGTCCTGGTGTGGTGCTGTAGGACAAGCACTCAACTGCAAAGTCAGTATGAACCGCAAGGTTGGTGACTCAAACTAACCATCCGCTCCTCGGAAATTTTATACAGGGTTGCTACAAGTCAGAACTGACATGACAATACTTAACACTAACATATATACACACACACATACATACAGGAGTATGAAGGCTCCATACCATGGGTACTGAACTATGAACCACAAGGTCCACAGTTTGAGCCCGCCAGCCACTTCATGAAAAATAAGGCTTTTTGCTCCCGGAAAGATTTTAAAGCCTCAGAAATACTTACTATACAGGGTCACTATGATTCAGAATCGACTCAAAAGCATTTATATGTGTGCATGTATGTGTGTGTATGCAGTTCTGGTGTAGTGCTGTAAGATAAGCACTCACTCAAAAAGTAGGTTTGAACTACAAGGTTGGCAGTTCAAAATCAACAGCCACCCCTCAGAAACCCTATACAGGGTCGCTATGGGTTGGAATCAACTTGACAGCACTTAACAACATACATACGTAGATACATGAAAGTTTGACAATTTACCAACAAACCCAATAATAAAACAGGCAAAGGACTTGAATAAACAAATCACTAAAGAGGACATTCAAATAGTCACCAGACACATGAAAAGATGCTCAGAATCATTAGCTATCAAAGAAATGCAAATCAAAACCACTTCAGATAAGAAAAGCTGATATTAAAAAAAAAAAAAAAAATGCTAGTGAGGATGTAGAGAAATGGGAACCATGATCCACTGAAGTTGGAAATGCAAAATAGTAAAGGCACTGTGGACAACAGTGTGGTGATTCCTCAAATACTAAAACTAGAACTGTCGTGGTGATGGTGGTTATATGCTGTGGAGTCAGTTCCGACTCACAGCAGCCCTGTCTAGGGTTATTGAGGCTGTAAATCTTTCCGCATCTTCCTCCCATGGAACAGCAGCTGGTAGTTTCAAACTGTTGACCTTGAGGTTAGCAGCCCAACTCATAATCACTACATTACCAGAGCTCCTTTAGAATTGTCATATGACCCAGTAATTCCATACCAAAAGATTTGAAAGCAGAGATTCAATGTTCACTGCAGCACTATTCACAGTAAACAAAAGGTAGCAACAACCTAAATGCTCATCAACAGATGAAGGGATGAACAAAATGTGGTACATACATACCACAGAATACTACTCAGCTAGTAGGAGAAATTAAGTATATACTTGATACATGCTACAGTGTGGATGTAACTTGTAAACATTATGCTGAGTAACAAAACTCAACCACAAAAGAATAAATATTATGTGATCTCACTTATATAAAAAGACAAGAAAAGGCAAATATATAGAGAAGAAGGGGGGAGTGGAGGTTAGTGGAAATGAAAAAATTACATTAAGCATAGGGGTGCACAGCTAATTACTATAATTGTTATCAATAAATTGAACACCAATTAGAAAAAAGTTGATTTGGCAATAAATGTGGGATAGATATATTTACAACGACAAAAGAAAGAAAAAAAGAGAGTAGATGCTGAGGCTGCTTATGTACAAAAGAAATACCTCATGGGATTTTTTTTTCTTTGGTTTGGAAGCCATATGTCATAGTTTAACGGGACCTAAGGTGTCCCTGACCCAAGCCATGGTATTTTTCAATAACCTCATATGGATGTGAAAGCTGGACAGTGAATAAGGAAGATCGTAGAAGGATTGATGCCTTTGAGTTGTGGTGCTGGAGGAGAATACTGAAAGTGCCATGGACTGCCAAAAGAACCAATAGATCTGTTTTGGAAGAAGTGCAACCAGAATGCTCCTTGGAGGCCAAGATGGCTAAGCTTCGTCTCTCCTACTTTGGACACATTGTCCGGAGAGGACAGTTGCTGGAGAAGGATGTCATGTTGGGTAAGGTGGAGGGTCAGGGAAAAAGAGGAAGACCCCCAACGAGATGGATCAGCCAGTGATGGCCATCACTGATGGCGTCAAGTGTGGCAGCAGTAGTGAGGTTGGCCCAGGATCGGACATTGTTTCGTTCTGCTGTGCATGGGGTCACTATGAGTCAGTTCCGACTCGATGGCACCTGACAACAACAACAACAATCAGTCAACTGGCCTCCTAGTTCATTGCATAGCACCTGTGGTCTTAAAGGCTTGCAAGAATATATCCAAGGCACAAAAATGTTTTGCTGTTCACCTGGAGTAACAGAGGAAGAAGGGAGTCAGGAATAAGAAGAGGATATAGAATTTGTGGCTAAGTGCTTCTATTAAGAATAGCCTCCTTTGGCATGAGACCAGAAGAACTAGATGATGTCCCCTACCATTACTGAACATTTTGAACAAAGATGCCATAGAAGAATCCTGACCAATGGGGCAAATACAAAAAATTTAAGAATTTAAGTCTAGATTCCTCTAGACTTTCTAGAGCCATGAAAGGTAAGTGAACACCGGATATTATTGCCCTGATGTAATCTTTAACCTTAAACCGAAATTAAGCCCTGAAATGGTCTTAAAACCAAATAGTTTAGCTTAGCTAATCAAAAAGATTTGCCTTGAACGTTATTGTCTTTTAAGAACTAGTTATATGGCACCAAACTGACAACAGCAACTAAAAAGATACGACAGGAACCTTAGGGGGCAGTGAGTTTATGTTAATGGAGTAGGAAGGGCCATAGCAAAAGAGGGTGGAAATGGTTACACAACTCAAAGATTAAAATCAACGTCAGTTACTGTATGTGGAGAACCTGTTGGATTGGTATCTGTTTGGCTGTGTATAGCCTCACAAACAACAAAATAAACAAAAATGTAAAGGAAAAGTCAAATACTAGACATGTAGCTACTGTTGTTATTGTTAAGTGCTGTCAAGTCGATTCTGACCCATAGTAACCCTGTATAGGATTTCCGAGGAGCAGCTGGTGAGCTTGAACCGTCGACCTTGCAGTTGTTGTTGTTATGTTCCATCGAGTCGGTTCCGACCCACAGTGACCCTGCCAGGGGTTTCCAAGGCTGTAAATCTTTACAGGAGCAGAAAGCCTCATCTTTCTCCCGCAGAACAGTTGGTAGTTTCAAACTGCTGACGATGAGATTTGCAGCTCAATTTGTATGTTGTTGTTGTTGTTGTCAGGTGCCATCGAGTCGGAACCGACTCATAGCGACCCCATGCACAGCAGAACGAAACAATGTCCGATCCTGGGCCAACCTCACTACCGCTGCCACACCCGAGTCCATCAATGATGCCACCTGGCTGATCCATCTCATTGGGGGTCTTCCTCTTTTTCTCTGACCCTCCACCCTACCCAGCATGACATCCTTCTCCAGCGATTGTTTCCTCCGGACAATATGTCCAAAGTAGGAGAGACGAAGTTTAGCCATCCTGGCCTCCAAGGAGCACTCTGGCTGCACTTCCTCCAAAACAGATTTATTGGTTCTTTTGGCAGTCCATGGCACTTTCAGTACTCTCCTCCAACACCACAACTCAAAGGCATTAATTCTTCTACGATCCTCCTTATTCACTGTCCAGCTTTCGCATCCATATGAGGATAGGTGCCGGTAAATCAATTCCAACTCATAGTGACCCTGTGTACAACAGAATGAAACACTGCCAAGTACCGTGCCATCGTTACAATCGTTAATATGTTTGAGCCCATTGTTGCTGCCACTGTGTCAATCCATCTTGTTGGAGTTCTTCCTCCTTTTTTGTTGACCCTCCAATTTACCAAGCACAATGCCCTTCTTTAAGGACTGATGCTTCCTGACAATATATCCAAAGATGAAGAGACAAAGTCTCACCATCCTGACTTCTAAGAAGATTTCTGGTTGCATTTCTTCCAAAACAGATTTGTTTGCTCTTCTGGCAGTCCATGATACTTCCAATATTCTTCACCGACACCATAATAAAAATGCATCTATTATTTTATAATCCTCCTTATTCATTGTCCAGTATTCACATGCAGGCCCACTTTAGTCCTCAACCTGGCATCTTAGCTCCTGAACAGTTTAAGGGAAAAAAAAAAAAAGTTAAGAGGTATTGTGCAGTAGATTTGTTTAATGCAATAGGTCATTTGATGTCTTGACTGTTGCTTCCATGAGTGCTGATTATGAATCCAAGCCAAATGAAGTTTTTGACAACTTTAATCTTTTCTGTTTTATCATGATGCAATTTATTGATCCACTTGTGAGAATTTTTGTTGTCTGTGCATCGAGGTGCATTCGATACTGAAGGCTGATCATCAGCATCTCAAAACTTCTTCAGTTAAACAAGCAAGTTGGTATCA